CTCCAAAAAAATATCATTTGTCTTTTTTTGGGTCCTCCCTCCTATAAGCAGGAAGGTGTCCACTCACACTGCAGTGACGCCCTACTGAAGCACCAGGGTCTCCACCATACCATGCCATACCTCGGGGCTCATAGCCATGGTGGTTGGCACTAGGGATGCTTAGGATTGGGCGCCACCTCTGCTCCTGCTGAAGATCTGCACACCCTCCCCCATGCCCACCATAAGATGATTCCGGGAATGCCTATCTCTTCCCTTCTCTCCCCGTCTAGTACCAGTCCCACGTGAGTGCGTCTGTTTGGCAGAGCTCAGGCCACATGCCTGTGCTCCTGCAAGGGAGACTGGAAAAATGAGTTTTGGCTTCTTGCTTTGAATCAAGAGACTCAGCGGCATAATCTGACATCTGTTATTCTAGAAATCTTAATATATCAAATGTGAAAACCAAGTTTTCTTCTCGTACTTTGGAGTGCATTAGAGTCACCTGGAGAGCTTGCTAAAAATAGATTCTTGGTCTTAGCCCCAAACCACCTGCCAATAGAATCAAAACTTCTATTAAGAAGGTCGGGGCATCTATATTTGTAATAAGCTCCCAGGGGATTCGGATAAACACCAAATCTTGAAAAACCATGATTTAAAGATTTCTGTTGAAGACATTGGTCCACATTTTTGTTCAACTCTTGTTTTCCATCCCTCTAAGCCTAGGTATTACTCAGTTCTGGTAAATGCTGAATAAAGCCGCAGCCCTACTGTATGGTGACCCACACTCACTGGAAGGACTAGAAATGCAATTTTAAAAATGCTCTTTATGATTTGCTGGTAGAAGGAAATACTCTGCAACCATCTTTTCATGTCACCTTCACAGCATAATGGATTGACCAACATCTTACAAATGGATCGATTTTAATCAGTCTTTATTGATAAGTACAATTTGACTGCAAACATTTTAAGATGCTGAATCATCTGGTGCTGTTTAGCTCTTAAAGAGAATGTAAATAACCCTCGATAATTAGGCCTAGGAGGAAATGAATAATTTCTAACAACTTCTGAAAAAAAAAAACAAACCAGCAATTCTTAAACAGTGATGGTTTTGGTGATAAAATACAGGTTCAATGTTCATTCAGTTCAATGTATTAATATTCTGATAACTGATGACAGTTCTTAATGGAGTTACATACCAGTTTGCAGAGCAAGGGCCTAAGGTATGAATTCAGACATATTTGGGAAATTCTGGAAGGCTGTAGAGTAGACCTTTGGTATCAGAACCACTTGGCCAATGTTTATAATTCGGTTAAGAAGAATTCTCGGCCAGGTGTAGTATCTCATGCCTGTAATCTCAGCACTTTGGAAGGCCAAGGTGGGAAGATTACTACAGTCCAGGAGTTCAAGACCAACATAGTGAGACCTCGTCTCTACAAAAAAATTAGCAGGGTGTGCATGTGCCTGTAGTCCCAGCCACTCAAACATAGGAGGAGGAAGAATCGCTTGAGCCTAGGAGTTTGAGGTTGTGGTGAGCCATAATTGTGCTACAGCCCTTGTCTAGGCTACAGAAAGACTTCAACTCAATAAAAAGAAAAAAAAGTATTCTCCACTGGGAGGCTTTTTTCGCTTTCCAGGCCTAGGTTAGATACCCTTACATAAGCTTCACAGTATCAGTAGCAAGGCCCGGCCCTGACCTGTCACGGTACAGTTCTTTAATCATGGAACTGATGCTTCAGGGCCTTTGCGTATGTGACCAGTCACTTTTCCCACCAGTAGCCTCTTTTTAATTTCTAAGGTTTGGGCTTAAATGACACCTCATCACCTTTACCTACATAGAATTCCCACCTTCAACTACTTGTTCTAGTCTCTCACTAGCCTGTTTGCTTTCTAACACCTATCCCAATTTGCAATTCCTTGATCTTTTTTGCTCTCCCACTAGAGTATAAAGTCATGGGGAAGGAAGGTGCTTTACTCCCCTGGGAATATCCCACAGTGACCAGCACAGAACTAGGAGGGGGACTAGAAGGGGGACTTTGCTTGCAGGCTTACCATTGTGAAACAGCCCACCCTGGGGTAGTTAATAAATATTTACTGGATAAGCAAACATACATACGACTTCCTCAAGAAATACTAAATGGAAATGATCTGAGAAATCAAGGGCTCTTTTTTCTTTGATCCCATGTGTTCAGATTCTGATCATTCAACACTTAGCTTTTACATAGCAAAGTATCTGTTTTGGTCATTTCCAATTTGGAAAGTAGAACCAAAACAAAACTGAAACCAAAACCAACTCATAATCAAACAATCAAAACACAACAAACAAACACCCCATCCACTGTTACATATCCTGTGATACGAAGAACATCAGAATCTTGGTTATAACCAGTGCCACTCCCTCTTGAGCCATGGTACTCTTGAGAGCATTTCTTGTTTGTCTGACTTGTGTTTCTAAATAAATATATAATATTCGTAGTTATATTCAGATAATAACAACCTGGCAAGTGAGCTGGAGTTAAAGATTATTTTCCCCCACCATAGCACATAATGATCTGGTTGCCAGAATAAACCTTTACAGAAATAAACCTTTATAATCTTCTCTTTACCAATATTACCCACTTCAGAAATGCTTCAGAAAAGTGAATAATATTAAAAAACAAAACAAAAATAAAAACCACAGCTTTTCAGACACAGGTGAAACTTTATTTATACATAAAAAATTACACTTCAGGAATTCTCCTCCTCTACTCTTTTGATAGTAAAGCTCAAAATGAAAGGTTGAAAGTGAACAGTTTTTAAATTTTGTACACACTGTAGTCATAGTTAAACCATTTTTTAAGCTGCAAAAAAACCAAAAACAAAACTCTTCTACAGTAGTATGAGCTTTTATAGCTGCAGTCTTACATCTCATGATGACATCAAAAACCAAAGCAAAATAAACTAATATTCTAAAAGAGAAGACGTGGCTGTTGATGTTACCTGGGTCCTGTTTCTAACTTCCACCCATGCCAATTCTTCCTCTTAGGAATAACTCAACAGACAGTTGATTTCTAATAGAACCTATCATGGTCATGGAAAAAGTGAAAAGAGGGTGACAAGGGCCTCATAACTACAGTAGTTTAAAAACTATCTCCCATGGTCCTACATTTCAGAATAATATTAGCATTATCCACACTACATAAGAAACAAAATATGACATCATGTTTGGAGATCAAGTTATTACTACGATAACCATTCATCTATATTCTGGAGCATGTAAGCCTCAGTGCCACACAGATCTCAATCTCATTTCTAAAAAGTCATTAATTCAAAGACTCACTCAATGTTAAAATGATAAACTAGGTGTCAAGTGGTTGCTGCATCTAAACAAGATATAAAACTCTCGGTACGACCATGGCTTTTAAAAAAATTTTATTTTTAGAACAGGGCATAATTTACGCTGTTTTGTCCAAAACAAACAGGATTTCATCCATCTGATTAGGTAGTCTCCATCTCTCCCCTTCTGTTCTCCCGCCCTACTTCCCCCATTGCTAAACCCAATAACCACCACAGTTTACTTACCAGTGATGTGCTTTCTGTTTGAAGCATCTAAATCTATCTGAGATGACAGTTTAGAAAGCTGGGCAAAATAACATACTTTCAGGTACAATGACCATAAATGTCACCATTAGTGGTGAGAATGTTCAAGTATCTGCTCCGTTTTATGAACTTAATGTTGCTCTTTTTTTCTTCTTCATTTTTAAATTTAAAAAAATCTTTATTTTAAAATTTCCGGTGAAACCTGACCAAGAAATGTAGAAAATTTAAAAGTTCTTATTAGAAAAATCAAGCCGGGTGTGGTAGTAGCGCCCACCTGCCTGTAGTCCCAGCAACTTGGGAGGTGGAGGAGGAAGAATCACCTGAATTCTGCAGGTTGAGGCCGCATTGAGCCGTGATCTTGCCACTGTAGTAACAGAGTCCCCGACTCAAAAAATAAAAATAAAAATAGAAAGAAATAAAAGAAAACATCATTGATCCCAGTTTTCTGCCCAATGCTAGCAGCCTTAGGCCTTCTGGAAGAGGGAGGAGATGAAATGACTAATACCTTTCCATTCTGTGCAAACAGCAACTTTGTGCTTTTGTTGTCAGTGTTGTTATATTGGGATTGGTCTCTCTTTGGAGCAAAAACCGTGGCTTCACATTTTGTTAAAACTATCCTCATGGTGGCACAAGAGACCATTAGCTCCAAGTGCCAGCAAGGTCGTAACTCCTGGAAGCACTAGGCAGAAAGGAGAGGGTTCCTGCTTTATACCAAGGTTATGGACACTACAAAGATGAGGGAAGAAATATGAAACATGCAAGAAAAACAAGTACCCAAAGATAACATTTTTTTACTTTAAAAAATACCAATTTCTCAAAAATGTATATTAGGAATTTACACGAGGAAGAGCTAGAAAATATTTTCTCTTTTCACTGGGAAGAAATAACAAAATTAAATGAATGCAATGTAGATAGCTGGGCAAAGTTTTGTGTTCAGAAAATAGTACCCATTCAAAATGACATTTTTAGTCAAAAGGTAGCGCTGCTCAATTCTGCTTAGATAAGAAGCTTTTTCAATGTACTTAGGGGAATAATTTGTCTTTTTAATAGTTGGTTACTGTTTACATTGACGCTATGGAAAAAAATACACTGTACTGCTATTATTAGAAGAAGAAGAATTTGTACCACTATTTGAACAGTTTAATCAATTTCCATAAAGCTTACATGAACTGAGAATCAGAATCTTTCCCCACTAAAACATTGTGCTTCAGGGGGAGGGGGATGGGATTAACAGTCGCAAATATCTGTCTGAGGATGGGGAAACACCTCTTATCAACAGGGTGCCTGAATGAAACGTAATTGTACACCTAACCCTTAACTGTACCCCACAAAATAATAATAAAAAATATTGATTAAAAAAAACAAAAACAAAAACAAAACATTGTGCTTCACCAAAACTAGAACACGGAACTAGCAGAACAATTGGGATTAATATGCAAGAAATATAATTTACAGAGTTTGCATTTAGGCTTTATTTAACAATAGTTTAAATAGAAGTTTCTGTTTAACATCGCAAGAGGCAGTGCTTAAAGCATTACAAATGTACAATAATCCCAACTAGCATAGTTATGATTACAGATTTTCCATTTCATTTCTGTATTCAGGGATTATTAACTTATTTTTTTTAAAAAAAGGCTATTCTGGATTGATATAAAAGATCTGACCCCAGTAAATTAGCTATAAACTGTTAAATACAGTATAGAAATGGGTAAAATAAGATCATCCCAAAGCAAAGTTCAGGACTCAGAAAGCTTTGGCGGTGATCATGGACCCCAAGGCTCACACACTTCACACTACTGACATATAATGGCACATCTTGTCCCTCGGACTGCCTTCCCTAGAAACACTTACGGGTTAGGAAAATCAAGACAGCTTTTCCTTAGCACATGAGATGACCCAGATCTTTCTGACTTCAAAACAAACAAACAAACAAAAACAAGCAACAAATAAAAAGCCCTAAGTGCTAAAACAAGCAAATCGATAACAAAACAGAACAAACCCCATATCTCTCTTTTCAAGTAAATTTGTATTCACTGACCGCAGTTTGGAAGGAAAAACTGGTTTCACACTCACAAATTTACTGCAAGGATGTGACATACCCTTGCCAGGGAAGATTAGGTACCATGGATGAGGAGATCCAGACTGTGGCAGAGATTCAGCGGAGAGTCCTGACCAGATTCTAGAGGGTATTTGAGATGCTACAAACATTGAGGAGGTGGGGGGGAGAACCCTCAAAATAATTATTTGAAGAAAAGCCCGTATTTCCTCAGAAGCCAAAGGCACGCAAAATATTCTATTCTATGTAAGGAACATTAAGTTTATGATTCCACATGACCGAAAAGAACACAAAGAACAAGGTAAATTTGTATGACTTTTAAGTTTAAAGTCATCACTAATCTTATGAACCCCAAAACAAAGAAATAAAGGTGGACAGGGAAAACAGTATTCTTCAACTTTTCTTCAATGCACAGGGAAATCCCCCTGAGGTAAGAATAAGAAAATTTAGTAAGTTCGAAAATATTTCTAAATGTAACCATATTTTCCTTTAAAAATCACATGTGAATATTGGTATAGGTTTCATACAATTAAAAATATTTAAAGAAGCAACATAAGCTCTTAGGTAATTCCTTAATCACCATTACCAACCCTTGACACGTGGGGCTATGAGTGAATGATGAACAGTTTTGAACCTGAACCTACTGGAGAACTTTCTAAGCAGTGCGTATTTTCTAACTGTGAACTTGTTTAACATAAAAACTACCAACAGCTGGGTGTGATGGCTCACATCTGTAATTCCAGCACTTTGGGAGGTGGAGGCCAGAGGATTGCCTGAGCTCAGGGGTTCGAGACCAGCCTGGGCAATATGGCAAGATCTCATCTGTACAAAAAAAAAAAAAAAAAAAATTAGCTGGGCGTGGTAGCTCATGCCTGTGGTTCCAGTTACTTGGAAAGCTGAGGCGGAAGGATCACCTGAGTCCAGAAGGTCAAGGCTGTGGTGGCTGTGAGCATGCTACCGCACTCCAGCCTAGGCGACAGAGTGAGACTCAGACTCAAAAAACAAACAAAAAACTACCAGCAAAACTCTTTTCTTCCTTCTTTAATAAGGAATGCATATTTACTCAAGCTTCAAACCATACTTTCCTTTGACATTTCTCATAAACTGAGCTTCTATTTTAGCATTTTTAATAGCAATGTCCTGTTAGGTTATTCTAAAAGCAACTTTCCCAGTAAACCACATTTTTCATCCCATTAGGCTGACTTTTCAAAAATCACAGTATACTTATAAAAAGACATAGGTAGGTTTATAATCTACTTTATTAAAGGAAATAAATTTTAGCACACAATCGTTAAAGACAAAAGAGCATTTAGAAAAGTTCAAATTGATCAGTATGAAAATACACATCACTGAAATATACTTACTTATAAAAACATACTGCCTTTGCCATGAGAAAATCTGGTGTTCAGTTCTCTAGATTTCTTTATTAGAGCTTTTTTCTGAGCTTCATCAAACCGATTAACCTTGAGATCCCTATCCCGGTCAAATGGTAGTCTCTCTTGTGGCTTGTTTTTCTCTTCAGCAGCCTTGCTCTTTAATTTTTTATGATGAATGTCCATAAGAGACTCTGATCTTTTTGATTCCTGGGGAGAGGAGGAGAGCAGAAATGAAAATCTCAGCTTTTACAGGTTACCGACCGAATATAATCATGAAACAGAATTAGCAGATAGTAACGATGCATATTAAAAGGACTATTTACAACCCCCCAATAGGTTTTTCCACATCCAAGACAGCATCTACAAAGAAATACGCATCAGAGGCAAATTCAATTCAATAAAAATGAAGATATCGACCAACTACATGCCATGTGATAAAAAAAGAACAAGACAGAAAGGAAGCAAATATTTAAATAACCATAGTACAAAATAGTATGTTCATTTAAATACTAAATATTAGAGTACAAACCCAGAACATGGGTATGAAAGGAACAACAACTGTATTCTCACTTTGTGGATGCACTGGTCCCTGCAGCCTGTGCAGATGAACAGGATGGGAAGGCACTGGCAGGATGAGGTACAAGGATGAGAAAGAAACGAAAGAGCACAGGTGTGGCAAAGCCCAAGGCCTGTGCAGGGTATGCCGGCATGTTCTATACGTAAGATAATTGTTGTTACTTTCAGTTTTCTGTTCCTTATCTTTCCCCCTTACTGTCCTCATTTTTTTCTTCTTAGCCAGGATAGATGTTCACATTTTAGATGTTTCTATGAAGACAAGGTTTGAGCAAAGGTGATAGGTTTAATAAATTAGGGATTCATTCTAAAACTCTTGAGTATTGACTAAGGTCAAGGACAGAACAGTGCTGGACTAAAGGAGAAGGGATGGAATGGAGGAGTGGGTGTGGGTAGTACAGCCCAGTCGCCTTCCAATCGGGGCTACACGGAGTCTTTCTTAAAACAGACTTGCCCTATAATGCATCTTGTGAGGATGCCTCCTTTTCATTATTAACGCCTTCCCATTTAACAAAGGAGACCAAGAATAGTGCCTAGGAGAGCCAGAGTCTTCAGGGCACAAACAAAAAACATCAGAAACACGAGTATGAATGAAGTTTTCTTTAATCAGGAAACTATAAACCCAGGTGGGCTTTGTGTCTTGTGTCTTCAACATATCTCTCGTTAAGTGTCGTGTCCTTTAGAAATGGGTGTTTTGACTGTTGCTGGAGCTCTGAATTCCGATGTGTCAAAGAGTGAGCAATGGACGAGGACAATTTTTGTGTGACAGCTCCATCTCTTCCCAGCCTTGCCCACTGTCAAATGCACCTGAGAGCAAAGAAGTGAAGAAAGCAAAGGAGCAGGGCACTAGCAAGGAATGCTGAAGGTGACAGCATCTCATTTCATCCAGAAGACGAACTCAAGCACCTGCACCTACGTTGGATTCCAGAAGTGTCACATGAATGAGCATGAACACATTTATTTGAATGGAAAACATGAAGCCAGATTTTTAACAGAAAGTAAGTGTGACCTGGCCGATGTGACAAGAAATGACTTTGTCAATCAGGTCTGTGCGTTAGCCATGTTCTATGAACCAAATGGGCTCAATCTGGAGATTTAAGGTTTCAGCAGAATGTCCAAAAGCTACTAAATTAGTAAATATATTTTTAAATGAGCATGAGTTCCATTTTCACATCCCTGCATCCATTAAGTCAGAGTCTCACTCTGTCACCTAGGCTGGAGTGCAGCGGCACAATCATGGCTCACTACAGCCTCGACCTCCTAGGCTCACGCGATCTTCCCACAGCCTCCAGAGTTGCTGGGATCACAGGTGAATGTCACCATGCCTGGCTAATTTTTTTATTTTTTTTGTAGAAATGAGGTCTTGCTATGTTGCCCAGGTTGGTCTCGAACTCCTGGGCTCAAGAGGTCCTCTTACCTCAGTCTCTCAAAGTGCTGGGAATACATGCATAAGCCACTGCACCCAACCAAGTCTTTTAGAAACTGATTTACCAATCAAGTGTTTTCCAATTTTTTACTTTCAACAAAATTGAGGTTAAAAAAAATCAAATATTGCTAAGAAAAAAGAGGCTATCAATACATACACGGGCATGGAGAAATGACTTAGAACTCGGGGTTCCAAGTTCAGAAAAATTTGGATGGCAAGGATGGTCCTGGACTTTCAACACTGACATCCTTGGGTATAATGTAAGCCCTGTTTCCTCAGCTGTAAAATGGTGGTAGCCATAGCAATAATTCCCGTACCTTTGGGTGAGGGAGGAGCTAAATAATCTAAAGACTCCAGAGAACTGAGCACAGTGCTGGCTATCTAGAAACACTCCATAAGTGCTATGTGGTTAAGAGTTATTGAGCACTCACTAAAATGTAATCCTCCCAGTATCTCCATATTCCTCTTACATGGTTTTGGAAAGAATGAGAATATATATATATATTTTTTGAGTTGGAGTCTCACTGTCGCCCAGACTGGAGTGCAGTGGCTGCTCCCAGTCACTGCAGCCTTGACCTGCTGGGTTCCGGCAATCTTCCGCCTCAGCTTTCCAAGTAGCTGGAATTACAGGCATATGCTACCACGCCCGGCTGATTTTTTGATTTATTGTAGAGATGAGGTCTCACTCCCAGGCAGGTCTCGAACCCACAGGCTCAGGCAATCCACTCACCTCAGCCTCCCAAAGGCGCGGGATTACAGGCTGAGCCACTGAGCCCAGCTTGAGAAAATATATTAATAGAACTATTGGGAAAAGAAAAATCAAAAGGGGTCCCAATGAGTTGGCAGTTGACAGATCATAAGTAATAGTTTTCATTAATAAATAAATATGAAGCTTAAGAAAATAACTCAATGGCCAGGTGTGGCCTGTAATCCTAGCACTTTGGGAGGCCGAGGTGAGAGGACGGCCTGAGCCTGTGGGTTGGAGATCAGCCTGGGTAACTTGGCAAGACCTCATCTCTACAATTAAAAAAAAAAAAAATTAGCTGCGTGTGGTGGCATGTGTCTGTAGTCCCAGCTACTTGGAAGGCTGAGGCAGAAGGATCGTCTGTGCCCAGCAGGTTGAGGCTGTGGTGGCCAGGAGCATGTCACTGCACTCTAGCCTGGGCGACAGAGTGAGACTTCAACGCAAAAAAAAAAGAAAGAAAGAAAATAACTCAAATCACCTGTGCCCAGCAGGTCAAGGCTGTGGTGATTGGGAGTGTGTCACTGCTCTCTAGCCTGGGCGACAGAGTAGACTACAACTCAACAAAAAAAAGAAAAAAAAGAAAATAACTCAAATTGCTCAAAGAATTGAATGACATTGCTATAATAAAATGTGTTCCATCCCCATTTACTTCTTTATGTAAACTTGATTTCTTAACCCTTATAAATATAAAAATAAACAAAAGAATACAACTGATGCTTAAAACTTTCTTATTCTGGTAATAAGCAACATTCATCCAAAGACCAGGAACAAACTAGAAAAAAAAATCATTTATTAAGAGATTAAATTTACATTTTACTTTTTATGCTTAAGAATTATTTATCAAAATTTATAATACGTTTACATTATTTCTATTTTATGTGTTTTAATTTTTTTGAGTCAGAGGTTTCACTCCAGGCTGGCGTGGAGTGGTGTAATCATACCTCATTGTAACCGCTAACTCCTGAGCTCAGTTCCACCAATTATCCTGCCTTGGCCTCCCAAGTAGCTGGGAGTTAACTTTTTTTTTTGAGTTGGAGTCTTACTCTGTCACCCGGGCTGGAGTGCGTGATCACAGCTCCCCGCAGCCTTGACCTCCTGAGCTCAGGCAATGTTTGCACCTCAGCCTCCTCAGCAGCTAGGACCGCAGGCATGTGCCACCATGCCCAGATAATTTTTTATTTTGTAGAGACAAGGTCTCCCTATGTTGTCCAGGCTGGTCTTGAACTCCTGGGCTCAAGCAATCTTCTCACCTTGGCCTCCCAAAGTGCTGGGATTATAGATGTAAGCCACTGTGCTTGGCAGGAACTACTTTTTTATTATTTTTTTTGTAGAGATAGGGTCTCACTATGTTGCCCAGGCTGGTTTTAAACTCTTGGCCTCAGGTGATCCTTATGCCTCAGCCTCCCAAAGTGCTGGGATTACAGGTGTGAGCCACCATGCTTGAACTATATTTACATTCTTTTGATCAACTAAAATTACAACTTAATCCATAGGAAAAAATGTGTTAACATTTAAAGACACAGGAGATTAAAGCTTTCAATTTCAATTTAAGTGTATATTTTTATTACAGTGAAATATAATTTTTCAATGCAATCATACAAGACTTAAGCATAAAAGTGAATTCTAGTAGGATAAGATTCTATAGCAGAAAAATAAAATTATAAATTCAAGGAGAATAAAAGGCTGAAATAAAATTTCCTATTGCTAAAAAAGTACTTGTTGATATTATATACATATATATTTTTAAAATGGATTATAGTAGATATCAAATTACTACAGCACTTAAGATTTGATTAAACATTTAAGGGTGGGCTGGGTATGGTGGCTTATGCCTGTAATCCCAACACTTTGGAAGCAGAGGCAGGAGGACTGCTTGAGCCCAGCCTGAGCAACATAGCAAGACCCTGTTCCTGCAAAAATAAAAAAAATTAGCTGAGTGTGGTGGTGCATGCCTGTAGTCCCAGCTACTTGGGAGGGTGAGGTGGGAGGATCACCTGAGCCCAGGAGGTTGAGGCTGTGGTGAGCCATGATAGGGCCACTGTACGCTAACTTAGACAACAAAGTAAGACTCTGACTCAAAAAAAGAAAAAAAAAAAAGAAGCATTTAAGCAAGTACTATAATATGCTATGAATTACTTCTTTGGTAACTACTGAAACCTATGATGAAGATTTTTAGATGTCAAGTAAAAAATACATGGTTTTAGGAGATACCAAGCAACCATACTTGAAGACTACTGGTTTCCACCCTGACTGGTTGAAAAGAAACACAGATTCCTCAGTTCCAACAGACTTAGTGAATCAAAACCACCAGTGGTGGGGCTCAGGAACCTGTAGTCTTACCACCTGAGTTATGACTCAGGCTATTCCTCAGATGTAGAACACACTGTGTAGATCATTCTTTCTGGTGGTGTGGTACTGATGGAAGAGAGAATGCCAACACAATTGAGGAGTGGAGTAGGGTTAATTTTAGGATGGGAAACCATATATGTAATATATAGTGTTATATGTACGCATAAACATAAGAAAACTATACTCATGAAAACTTAAGATTTTAGCACCATTTCCCCACATTCTCCCTCCCTTCCCCTGAATCCACATCCTTCCCTGCGAAAGAGAGAATAACTTCTTAATCATGTGAGTTGAGTTTTTGGTCAATTTCCAAAAATGTTTCATGTACACACTGTTTATGGTACCTGTCAACGTATGTCTAATAAATCAAGCTAAGTATATTTTAATGTTTATGGAGTTTTCATTAACTAATACACTGAGAACAGAAAGTAATTTTCCTGAACACATGAACACCTTTCAGGGACCAGTGGGTTCAGTAATTTACATTTATTGGTTTTTTTTTTAGAGTTGGAGTCTCACTGTTGCCCAGAATGAAGTGCAGTGGCCCATTCCCAGCCACCTCAGCCTCGACCTGCTGGGCTCAGGTGATCCTTTCGCCTCAGCCTTCTGAGTAGCCGGAATTACAGGCGCGCGCTACCATACCCAGCTGATTTTTGATTTATTGTAGAGATGAGGTCTCACCAAGTTACCCAGGTGGGTCTCGAACCCACGGGCTCAGGCAAATCACTTACCTCAGCCTCCCAAAGCATGGGATTATAGGCTGAGCCACCGAGCCCGGCTTACATTATTCTTTAAGTTGGAATATTTACTAGATTTTTTTCATTTTTTTTTTCTGGTTGGGCGGGACAGCACTAACCAACATTTACCAGTTTTTTTTTAAAGAGTGAGAGGGAATATAACAAAAAATAATATGCCAACTGAATACTGACCTGTTTAGTTGATAAGTTTAGACTGAATTATATTTAAAAAATATTTTTTTGCTCATATTTAAATCTTTACATCAAACACTCCAAATCTATTCATAATTTAAAACCATAAACTTAAGATTTCTAGTCATAAGCAGGGCTCCTGTTTTCTAATTAAGTGCTATCTATCTCTAGTAATTAAATATAACAAGTAAAATGTGAATTTCAGATGAAATGCATAGAAAGAATTCATACAAATCTTTATATGCAATGGAGCTGAATGTTTTTCAGGAGAAATGTAAAAGCCTGAGGTAAAGAGGCAGACATGTAAAAAAAGAGAAACAAGAAAAAAGAAAGGAAAAAATGAGAACTAAAAGAAAAAATAAATGGCTATGTATTTTCTTTTCCTTTTTTTTTTAAGTTGGAGTCTTACTCTGTCGCCCAGGCTGGAGTGCAGTGGCACGCTCACGGCCACCGCAGCCTTGATCTGCTGGGCTCAGGTGATCCTTCCGCATCAGTCTTCCAAGTAGCTGGAACTATAGACACACACCACCACACCCAGCTAATTTTTGGGTGTATTGTAGAGATGAGGTCTCACCAAGTTGCCCAGGCTGGTCTTGAACCCCTGTGCTCAGGCAATCCACTCGTGTTGGCCTCCCAAAGTGCTGGGATTAAGGACTTGAGCCACTAGGCTCAGCCTTTTTTGCCCAGGCTGGTCTCAAACCCGTGGGCTCAGGCAATGCTCTTGCCTCCACCTCCCAAAGTGCTGGGATTACAGGTGCGAGCCACTGTGCCTGGTTATGTATTTTATTTTCACTTAAAAAAAAATGTTCCCCATAGCCCATAATTCTGCTGTATTTGTCTTATTTGCTTACTTACATTATATGAGGACACCTGCTCGGCCAACCTCTTATCTCTTCCTGACAATATATACTCTTCATCCTTCTTACTGAATGACTTCCTTGCTTCTTGTGTTTCCTGAAGAATGAATGCAGATAACACATTACTGAACCACATAATTAAGATACATTAAAAAAAAGATACTATTATGTTTACTTAGATTAAGTAACAAGAGACAATAACTAAACCAGGCTTGGTAAATCCCTTCTGGTTAGAAATACTAATATACTTGATAAGGGATCAGTTAGTGTTCTAGTGTTTAGTTTTCCTGAAAACAAGAGGGGGGTAACCCCACCCAGATGACTGACTGAAAGAAACCACCTATTCAATGGGCTCACAATGAGTGTGATTAACAATGACAAGTGTAGGAGTGAAAATAAGGCTTGAGAAGAAATTCTACAGTACTGTTTTCAAAAACAGTAAAATCACTCGAGGGAAAAGCACAAAGAAAAAGAAATAAAAGGTGTGTATTTTGTAAAAACGAAAGAAACAAAACTATCTTTATTCATAGATCATATGACTGTTTATGTAGAAAACCCCAGATAATCTACCAAAAAAACCCCAAAAAACCCTCCAGGAACAAATAAGCAAGTATAGCAAAGCTGCAGGATACAAGATCAACATGCAAAACACACCAGAAATGAACTAGAATTTTAAACAAAAGTATTATTTTCAATAACACACACAGACACAAATGAAGTACTTAGGTAAACATCTAACACATTTTGATTAGAAAAAATTACAGTGATATTCTAGAGAATATACTCCCAACTAGGAATGAGGAAGGCCCACATAAAAATGGCTGAAAACTACTGGTCTCAAAGCATATTTTAATAGTTTTTATTTGCTTAGGGAAACCAGTGAGGCCCTCATATAATTTTTATCTTAATAATGAACTAAAACAATGCTGTAGTTAATGAAGTACATTAAAAACATGAGGATATTTCATTTATTATTTTGTAAATAAAAATTCTCCCAGAAAACTTTTACTTATAAATATTAAGAGAAAAATGATGTTATGGTAACATGGAGATTAAAAACCTAACCAGTTAACCTTTTTTTTGTTTGTTTTTGAGTCTGAGACTCACTCTGTCGCCCAGGCTGGAGTGCAGTGGCATGCTAATATCCACTGCAGCCTCAACCTGCTGGGCTTAGGCGATCCTTCAGCCTCAGCCTTCCAAGTAGCTGGAACTACGGACACATGCCGCCATGCCTGACTAGTTTTTGTGTTTTATTGTAGAGATGAGATCTCACCAAGTTGTCCAGGCTGGTCTTGAGCCCCCAGACCCAGGCAATCCTCTTGCCTCGGCCTCCCAAAGTGCTGGGATTACAGGTTGAGCCACCAAGCCCAGCCTAACCATTTAATATTAACAGGTAGAAGAGCTTGTCAAGACTGGGAGGTGAGGACATAACGTCTCCTTCAAATGATTTATGCAAAACATTTTCATTTTTTACTTTTTTTTTTTGAGTCAGAGTTTCACTCTGTCACCCAGGCTTGAGTACAGTGGCATGTTCACAGCTACCGCAGTCTCAACCTGCTGGGCTCAGGTAATCCTTCTGCCTCAGTCTTCCAAGTAGCTGGAACCATAGGCATGTGTCACCATGCTCAGTTGATTTTTTTGATTTATTGTAGAGATCAGGTCTCACCATGTTGCCCAGGCTGGTCTCGAACCTGTGGGCTCAGGCAATCCACTTGCCTCCATTGTGTGAGCCATTGTGCCCAGCTCATTTCTTTTTAAAGAGCAACCTTACTTCTTTTAGACCATGTTGGCTATGTGAATGTGAGAACATTATAGGTACGAGAGATGTACGTTGGGAAATCAAATATAAAAAGTGAGACTGCCAGGCACGGTGGCTAATGCCTGTAATCCCAGCACTTTGGGAGGTGGAGAGGCGAGAGGATTGCCTGAGCCCATAGGTTCGAGACTCGCCTGGGCAACATGGTGAGACTTCGTCTGTACCATACAAAAAAAAAAAAAATTAACCGGAGATGGTGACTCATACCTGTAGTTCCAGCAGCTTGGAAGGCAGAAGTGGAAGGATTGCCTGAGACCAGCAGGTCAAGACTGTAGTGGCCGTGAGTGTGCCACTATACTACTGCCTGGGCGAGAATGAGACTATGACTCAAAAAAAATGAGATGAAGTGAGGGAAGAGAACTTATCAAGAAGGAAATTTGGCTAAGATCTGGTACAAAAATTAACATGAACTTTACATAGGATCAAAGACACAAGAAAATAAATAGCTCTTTGATACTGTATAGTGACATAAATATAAGTGTACGGTACTATATGCTGTAATATAGTATCACATACAATTTAAGAGGTATTAACAATCTCCTTATGAGTACACCATAAGTATGAAACAAAACATTTCAGCACAGAAAAGGATGAATAGGTCTAAAAAACTCAGTCATAGGGATCAAAATCATTTAAGTTCAAACTGCACTGCCTGGTTTTCATTTGTTCTATTATTCTGTGATATTGTCCTCTGAGGACGACTCTTTCAATATTTGGCTGTAGGTTGGACATCTACTCATCTACAATAGGAGCAGAAGAATATAAAAAACAACAAATAAATGTAGGCACAAACAAAAAGTCCATGGAAGCAAGATAATTAATTGTCTTTTTGGAGATAAGCTTAAAGGATAAATTATGAAAACTCTAATCTTCTTTTTCATAAGTAACTAGCTCTATGACCTTACAAAAGTTGACTGCATAGAGGAAAGTTTCTCCATCTGAAAAATCAGGTCAGTATACCTGTGTCTCAGAGTTTTCTGAAGTTTCAATAACACAGTTTATTGGGACATAGTAAATAAACAGCAAGCAACTGGTGTCATATTCCTTCCTCATAACCTTCCTACAGAAAAAAAATCTGTTTTCCCTTTGGAATCACAAATTTAAAACACAGTATCCTTAAATAACTTTGCCTTATAACTTTTAAAAGTTGAGCCAACATGGATGGAAATCCACGAACAAACAAACAAACAAACAAAACCTCTCACCTTGGTTTTCCGCTCCCTGTCAGCTGGAGTATCTGTCCAGATGGATCGGTCTCCGGATCTGTCATCAGCTCTTCTCTTAAAAGTCCTTGGCCCCAAACCAAAATCTTTCATTTCTGGAGGAAGTTCTGTCATCCATGACTCCCTTATAATTGGTTTAGATGAATCCTTTAAGAGAAATAAAATGTTCTTAAAAAACAGTATGGAAAGTATATATATATAACACTGTATGAGCAACTATGTCTTGCAACTGAGGTTTCAAAGTTACTTAACACTCCAATAGGAAGGACTGATGTTTTTGCCACATGTTATATGTTACAAACACTTTCATCCAATTTTTTTTTTCCTGAGTTGGAGTCTCACTCTGTTGCCCAGGCTGGAATGCAGTGGCATGCACATGGCGACTGCAGCCTTGACCTGCTAGGCTCAGGTGATCCTTCTGCCTCAGGCCTCCAAGTAGGTGGAACTACAGGCCTGCACCACCATGCCAGGCTAATTTTTTATTTATTGTAGAGACAAGGCTCGCCATGTTGCCCAGGCTGGTCTCGAACCTGTGGGCTCTGGCAGTCCTCTTGCCTCTGCCTCCCAAAGTATTGGAATTACAGGCGTGAGCCACTGTGCCTGATTCATCCAATTGTTATTCTTTTGATTTTATGTTATCTTCTGTCATACAGAAAACTTTTAATAGGCAAATTTGCCAATTTTTTTCTTTGTAGTTTCTGGGTTGTGTAGTTCCTAACTTTTCTTTGTACATATACTATATAAAAAGAACATATATTAACATATATATAATATAAATGCTTATTTCTAAAATTTAGATGTTTAATCAGTTTACTTTATTAAAGTGTCTTTAAAACTTACATCATCTCCTTTAGTCAGTTTTTCTTTCATTCTCTGAGCCCTTTTTTCAAACTCTGTTGTTACACTATAGTTAACTGGTTCTTTTGCAGGCATTGGTCCAACAATGTCCTCATCTTCGCTGCTATCTGTTTCCTTTTAAAACAAGACATTACCTTTAAACCAAGAGCAGAGCTACAGGTCACAAAAATTAATCTTAAATTACTTAATTTCACTGAAACTAATTACTCATAACAAATACAAAGTAAACAATCTATTGCTTGCTCATCGCTGAAAATGTGAACCTTTTCCTTGCCTTCCCCAAGCATATATACAATAAAGACAAATCCACGGCCTGTGGACTGTCCCATCTCTCCTCCTATGTCCACACTGGACCTTATTTTCTTAGGTCCAGTGTGGACATGTAGCCCTGGTGTTCTCAACACGGTATTCCAGGTACTTATTACCAATTGTTCAGAGATGACTAAGTTGAAACAATTTCCATTCCTGGCACATGAAAAGCTCTTTGGACTAAGATGTACATAATAAGCAAGGCATTCCAGGGAACTGTATCAACCTTCATAATTCAGTAGAGTCCACTGAAATACAAATGCTGTGCAATACCTCAAAAAATACTGACCTGGACAAGTTAATTCAGTTCCAAAAGTACCTCACTTACCCTAAGGATAAAATAGCACTGCAATAATTGAACTCAATTTGTTCTTACTAAATCATTTTGGTAAACCTTTTCCATGCATGAATCTGTGTTAGATGCTCTATACACTAGATTTTAATGGTAGTCCTTGTCCTCTAGGAGATTTGTTAAGACAAATAACAATAACATGTTTGTTCTCCTGCTCTGACAGGCAACTTCTTCCTCTTGTTTTTCCAATCAAGCAAGATCAGGTGTTCACTTGCATTGCTTTCGCTTTCCCTACTAACCACGGAATGGTAACTTTCTATCTGTGGTTTCTGTGACCCCTTGCAGCAATGCTATTTGTACAAATAGTTAGACAATTATATGTTGGCTTATGGCTAAATCTCTCTCGCTCTTTCTTACAAACACACACACACACACACACACTTACTCTTAATAACTTGAAGTTTGGCATTTAACACCTTATTTGATCCTCTTAACAAAACTGTGAGATGGTATTATTTCTGTTTTTTTTTTAGATCTAGGCTTAGAGAAGTATATTTAGAATAGATAAACAACTTGCCTGACTTTATAAAACTAACATCTAAAAATCAAATATTCCAAGATTAAGGCCAGTATTGCTTCTGCTTATACAATCAAAGCCCCTCTATTATTTTCTTTATTGCAACTGCTAGTGATTTAATTGTAAGTGTTTCTAGTTAATCTCTGTAAGAGGAAGTTTTTTATGTCATAGACATAAAAAAAAGTATCTATAATCCCTTAAAGACAGAAATACTTGATGGCCAAAAATGTGCGGATATATAAGATATCGTGAACTTTTAAAACTATGAGACATGAAAAACAAAACAAAACCAAAAAAACTTTAAGAGTCATAGCACCAATACTGTAAAAAACAATGCAACTAGAGCCCTTGCTATCATGAGGATGCTGAATTAACTAGCCCTAGAATGATCTTATCTCTGGACCTCTTATTATATAAGAAGCACATTTATATTTTGAGAATGTAAAATACATATCACCAAGAAAATAAATAACCCATTTGCTAACTACATAGGTTAAGACAAAGTTTCACTTTAAGTTGGATCTTCGGTTATTTGCAGCTGAAAGTATTCAGCTGATACACCATCTCCCTGGATGGCTGTTTGGATTAAATTACCTTTATGCTGATGCTGTGCTTTGCGGTGTCTGATTTGTTGTAAGTACCCAACAAATATTAAACATTAGTATTCCTGTGTATGTCTTTATATGTGGGGGGATATATGCTAAGAATAAGACTAAGAGAAGTCCCTCTTTGAGAAATGAAAATCTGAAAACTGAAAAAGAAGGATCTTCTGAGAAAGATTTAGTTAAGGGGAAATTATAAAGCAAACAATCAGAGCAAGAGCACCTTCCACAGGTGCACCATGGTAATGTACCTTCACCTTCTGCCAAGAGAAGCTAGAAAATGCAGAATGTGTACCACCCAGGAAATGATTTCTACTATTCACCTGTTAACCAAGTAAGTTAGGATGAAATCCAAGTGTGAACAAAGCTGAATTATGCTACTTATTTGAAAAATTTTCCCAAGCTTTTTACTTTGCAAAATTTTAACCCTATAGAAAAGTGCTAAGATGAGTGCAATGAACAGCCATACACCCTCACTCGACTGCCCAGTTGTCAACATTTTACAAGATTTATCTTTTTATTTTCTGCCTCCCTCCCGCCATGAGATAGATGCACCTACTTTTCTTCTGAACCATTTGAAATTAGGCTACAGATAGCATAACAAGGCTCTAGAATGAAGCACACTTCCTTGCCACTTTCCAAAGGACAGTGGGGTACACTTCTCTAGCCCCCTTGTCCACTTTTTACAGACAGAACTTCGAGGCTGTGGGTTTTATGCAGGGGGTGAATTCAAACTCCTCTAGTTGAGTGAGTCAGAACCAAGGCTCCTGACCCCAGACTCAAATCGTCTAGGTTTTATGGCTGCTTCTCTAAAACGACCGGGATCCCTGCTGTGTAAACCTATGCTCTATCCTTGACTTCTCTCAATGTGATTAGTGCCTGTGAACTTTCCCTTCTTCCTGTGGTGCTCGCCTGGGTTCTAACTTGGTTGCTATTTTATTTTTCCCCCAGCACTCCTTTGTGTTTGTGGCAGGGAGAGCCTGGCCTGACATAATAGCTCAGTCTTCCATATGACTGGAAGTCCTCACCGTGATAATTTATTTCTGCATTTAACACCCTTATTAGAAAGATTTCTGATGCTTAGCTTAAATTCTTCAGGTACTCTCAGATTATAATGATATTAATAATAACAAAGTTATTATAAGTTGAACACTCGTTATTCTGATTTAATCCTATTTAACAACAACCCTATGAGGTAAGTACAGCAACCTGTATGTTACTGATAATGAAACTAAGCTCACCTAGAATTCAAAGCTCTCTCACCTTATCTCTAGCCATTCTCCCTGGTATCTTCATTCTAACCATACTGGATTTCTTAAAACCCTTCCTTCTCTCCACACTCTTTTGCCTTCACATAAGCTCTCTGCACTCGCTGGAACAATGTCCCCTGCCTGCTTTACTGAGCTATCTCCAACTCACCAATCTTCAGTCTAGGCATTTTCTCAGAGAAAAAGGCCTTTTTTAATTTCTTCAGATCAGATTAGATTCCCCTGTCATAGCTCTACTTATACTGCTTCATCTCTTGAATAATTCATGTTTGAAATTACTTAATGTATGCATTTCCCACTACCTTGCAGGTACAATGAGGGCAGGACCTGGGTTTGACATACTATTTCATTCAACAACTAATTCTGAATATCCACTATGTACCAGGCACTGGTGATAAGAGAAAAATCTCTATTCTTTTTTGAGGCAGGGTCTCACTCTAACCCAGGCTGGAGTGCAGTGGCATGATCACGGCTCACTGAAGCCTCGACCTTCTAGGCTCGGGTAATCCTTTTGCCTCAGCCTCCAGAGCAGCTGGAACTACAGGTGTGGGCTGCCATGCCTGGCTAATTTTTTTCTTTTTTGTAGAGACAGGGCCTTGCAATGTTGCTCAGACTGGTCTTAAACTCCTGGGCTCAAGCAATCTTCCCACTTCAGCCTCCCAAAGTGCTGGGATTATGGGCATGAGTCATAAAGCCCAGCCAAAAATCTCTGTTCTTATGGATCCACATTTTGGTGGAGAGAGGCCAACAATAAACAAAAAGAAGCAGTGAAATTAATGGTATCTCCAGTGCTAATTAAAAATCACAGAGAAAAGTAAAGGAGGGAAGAAGAGGTTAGCAAATCTAAACTCAGAAGCCAGAGACAACTGTATTGGAAAGATGATATTTCTGCAAAAATCTGGAGGTCTAGGAGGTCAGCCACATAGATATCTGGGGGAAGATCACTTTGGATAGATTTGGACAGCAGGCATAGAAGCTCAAGGAAGGAACTGGGCTGGTATATTTGAGGAGGAACAGGAAGGTGCCCAGTGTGGTCACAGCAAAGCAAAAGATAAGATCCGAGTGTTCATGGAAGCCAAATTGTATAGGGCCCTGGAAGCACTTTGGTTCTTACTCAGAGACAGGAGGAACAAGTTGATGGTTCTGAGTGTTAGGTGACATGATCTACCTGAGTTTCATCTGGACCCCTCAGGCTGTTATGTTAAGAAGACGTAGCAAAGAGGTAAGGGCTTCATAAAACATGAAGACCCACAAAAAAGGCAAAATATGATAGTCACTTGGACCAGTGTGCAAGAAGTGGTTGGATTCTGGTTGTCTTCTGAAGGTATAGAAACAGCAGAATTTGTCAACAGATTCACTTCTGTGACCTTTGCCTGACACACTCTAGGCGCTCTACTAGCATACTAGCATTTGTTGAAAGAATTAATGCATGACTCTGGAATTCATGATGTTAACCACTGTACTACATTTCCTTTCAGTAACAGTCTTGATGTAACTGTTGGATTCTTAGTGGAGATAAACATGAGTCTCTTGATTATATGAATTCATACACAGGAAGGCATCACAGTATAATAGACTGACAAGTGATTTAAAAGTCATTGAGCTGTGACTTTGTAAGTAAACTGTGTAATCTTGGGTAAGTTGCCCAATTTCTTTGGTCTTAAGCATCTGTAAGGTACAGATAGTTTCTACTTCATGAGGCTGCAGAGAAGATAAAAATAAGACCCACATATAGAGAAAATTCATTACAAATTCTAAAGTATTCTACAAATCTCAACTATTGTTAAGGAGAGAAACAGCCTTCATTCTTTACTCCAAAACCACTGGGTTCATCTTTTCATAAAATTACTAATCCACTGGTACATTTGATGTATACAAGTACCAGAGCTGGGAAGGAGAGAGATGATTTCAAGGTAAAGACCCTTATTAAAAAGCTCCTTAGCTTTCCCTCCTCCAGGTCAAATCATAATGATTCCTTAAACTTCCAGCATGTTCTATTTTTCTAACACTGTCAGTCTTGTTATTTTTCTAACAGTGTCTCATGTTTGTGGACAGCTTTTGATTTCATCTACCTATGTTACAATTTTAAATTTATCTGAATATAACTGAGTCCTACATTGGAGTAAAATGATTACAGTTACTGCAGACACACAATCTGGAATTTGCTACATCTTATTCTTTAAATAAAAACTTTGCAGACCTTAGAGTTGAGACATGACGGGACTTGTTCTGGATCACCTCTCCCCTTGCCACTTTTCTGTGTAGACTTAATGAAACCTGGTGGCAATGCAGGACCTATTATAGGCCTGAAAAATAAAATTCACTTTGATCAATCTCCCTGACTTTAAAATGCAGTTTTCAGAATAAAAGTTCACAAAAATAATAAAGCCAGGTAGTAACAAATGTTGAAAATGAGAAATTTGTTTGTTTATTTATTTTTACAGACAGGGTCTTGATCTATTACCCAGATTGGAGTGCAGTGGTGTGATCATAACTTACTGCAGAATTGGACTCCCATGCTCATGTAATCTCCCGCCTCAGCTTCCTGAACAGCTGGGATGACAGGTATGTGTCACCATGCCAGGATAATTTTTAAAGTTTTTGTAGAGATGAGGACCCACTGTGTTGACCAGGTTGGTCTCAAACTCCTGGGCTCAAGTGATCCTCCCACTTCTGTCTCTCAAAATGCTGGGATTACTAGTCTGAGCCACCATGCCTGGTTAACAATTTTATTTAACACATTATTTTTACTAGTATTACTTAGTATTTTTCTACTAGTAGGTTTAAAAAAAAACCTACTAGGTGTTTTTTGTTTTTTGCATCTGAACTTTGTACTTGTTAGTCAACAAACAGGTAGTAAGCCAATAATCCTCAATCTTTATGACACTGGCATATGTCTACTTCCTAAAAAGAACTATATTAAATAAAAATGGTAATGGACTACTAAAACCTGTGAAGGTCTGTTTCTGTTTTGTGCCTTGACCTTTCTTCAGTTTTGATATTCACTGTCTACTGAAAAATACCTTACAGGTATTATAATTATAGTCAGAGTTATTCAGAAACTCGTCAACTGGCCGGGTAGCTCAGCTGGTTAGAGTGGTGCTGATAAAGCAGAAACTAAGTTCTCTGGACATATACAGCATGTGCATACAGTGTCAGCAATCTATGGTGCATGTGCTATGGTGGATAAAAATCTCCACACTGTCCTCACTAATAGTTCAATAACGATGTGGAGCTGTAGAAGAATGCAGCTAGTTCACTGAGACCACAGAAAGAGGACAAGGTGCTGTGCTAACCAAACTTCAACAAGTGCACCCTTCTGTTTCCTTAAAACAACCCCGGCTTGTACAAATCACTCCACTTTTGTTTTTGTTTTGTTTTTTTGAGTTGGAGTCTCACTCCGTTGCCCAGGCTGGAGTACAGTGGCACATCAAAGTGCTGGGTTTACAGGCGTGAGCCACTGTGCCCAGCCTCACTCTGCTTTTTAGATGAGCAAAATAATGCCCAAGGTTAACACAATGAGTAGTGGCTGAGTAGGAGTTTAAACCCTGGTCTACTTGATGTTAAAATTTCCTTTCTTTTGAGCTGCCTTACTGCCACATAATGAGGCAACTGTCATCAGTTCCAAAGAGAGAACTGCCTAAATACTGGGTCATAAGGAGGAATAGCCTTCCTTTGTGTAGGGAAAAATAAAAAAGATATCTTCTGCTGTCTTTCATACTTTTAAATTTCTTCATCTTTGCTTTTGTACCGATGTGTTTTTCATAGTTGTCACCATGCTAGTGTGACTAACCCAGAAGGCACTAGAGTCCTAAGCTGAATTTTCCAGGTTGCACTGTCTTCTATTAGAGCCTTGCAGACAGGCTTTCCAGGAGGCAAAAAACAATATTGACAGCCAGAAAGTCTGAGTTCTGATCCCTATCGCTTAATTACCACCTGTCTTGATTCATGAAACCTCTTTGAGCAGAACAATTTTGCATATGAAAGACAGGGAAGTTTGGCAGTGTCAGAAAGATCAAATAGCTATCATTTATAAGCTAAAGGAAGTAAAGCACAGGCTTTTTCTGAGTATAATTTTTAGCAGATTTACAAATGCAATTACAGCTCAATTTTCTGGACCCATGAGATTTATGGAGATAAAATTACTGGTATACAAAATCTTATAAAATATGGAAAGGGTCGGACACAACGGCTCATTCCTATAATCCCAGTGCTTCGGGAGGCCAAGATGGGAAGATTGTTTGAAGGCAGGAGTTCAAGACTAGCTTGTACAACATAGCAGAACCTCATCTCTACAGAAAAAAAAAAATTAGTTGGGCATGGTGGCATGTGCATGTAGTCACAGCTACTTAAGAGGCTGAGGCAGGAGGATTGATTGAGCTCAGGAATTTGAGAATGCAGTGAGTAATGATCCTGCCACTGCACTCCAGTCTGGGTGACAGAGTGAGACCCTATCTCCACCCCCCCAAAAATTATATATATACACACACACATATACGTGAGGAGGGACCCCCAAAACAATTTATTTATAAAAAATGTTTGTATTTATTCTTACATGTTTAAACTTCAGTCACCTTCAAAGTACTCTCCATTTGATGTCATACACCTATCAAGATGCTTTATCTAATGCTCAAAACAGTTTTTAAGCTTGTCAATTTTGATGCCTTTTAGTGCTTCTGCTGTTTTTTGTTTCACCTCTTCTACACTGACAAAATTTTTCCCTTTGAGGATTTTTTTCCATCTGGGGAAATAAAAAGAAGTTGCTCTGGGCAAGACCAGGTGACTAGGGAGGGTGGGGCATGGAGGTCATGACATTTTGGGTCAAAAACTGCTAAACACTCAGTGCAGCTTGGGCAGGTTGTTTGTGTAAATCACCCATCATGAAATGGGCAAACACATTGAAAGAATCTCAAAAAAAAAAAAAAAATTCACTGAAGCTGAATGCAGCCTCTCACAACAATGCTAACTGGTACACTGATGCCAATGGGTTCCTAGAACACTTACCTAGTGGGGGAAGCCTGTACTATAAGAGGCCTGCCCTTAAAAAAGATAATTCTGGTTTTTAGGGGGTTCCCTCATATAGGGTAAAGGAATACTATCATGGCATTTTATGGTTGTATAAAAAAATTTGAACTCCGATATATGATACTAGCTGTTTATTTTATAATTGCTAAAATAGAATTCTTAAGAAAGAATTGTTACACTTTTAAATAATGTGTCTTCTTAAAAGAAATGCTACAACTCAGGGGTCAGCAAACTTTCTATAAAGTGCCAAATAGTAAATTTTATGCTTTGAGGGTCACATTTGGGTCTCTGTAGTATATTTGTCCTTTTTTTTTTCTACTTTAAAAAAATGTAGAAGTCATTCTTAGCTTGGGGACTATACAAAAACAGGCAGTAGACTCCCTATCTCTATTATACCCAGAAGGACTAAAGTTCATGGAAATTAGAAGCTGCCAAATGATAGAAAATAAATGACAAACTTTCCTGCTTGTTCTTACTTACTGGTATGTAGTGTTATGAATTATAAACAATGTACCTTGCAATTTTATATTTGGCATTTAAAAATTTTACAATTCTGGGAAGAAGATAGAAATCAATATTTGCTATATACTTACTCTATGCCAGCCATCATATACGTCACACTCACACATATATTTATGTAAATAATTATGAACGCTCAATTATCACAACCATTCTGTAAGGTATGTGTTGTTTTCCTGGCTTACAGATAACACATTTGAGGTCAGAGAAGTTAGTTAAGTTGTTTAACAGGCATATAAGGATTTGTTTCTTCTATGGATAAATAATTAAGAAGACAATTGAATTAGGAGTCCGAACATCACGATTCTAGCCCCGGGTCAGTCACTTACTATGTGTAAAAAGGTTGGGAGAGGAATAATGTTTCACCTGTTTCACCACAAAACACCTTTGTATCAAATAAAGGATATGGAAATTTTTTGCAAACTATAAAAGTGTCATAAACATGCCAATAATAATAATTTTTTTTTTGGAGACAGAGTTTTACTCTGTTGCCCAGGTTGCAGTGCAGTGACACAATAATGGCTCAATGCAGCCTTGAACTCCTGGCCTCAGGTGATCCCCCTGCCTCGGCCTCCGGAGTAGCTGAGATTACAGGCATGAGCCACCACACCTGGCTTAAATAATCATTTTTATTATAGCAAACAATGTAAGGAACAGTTTCAGACAACTTTTTAATGAGTTAACAGATACTAGTTGAAGTATTTAAAAAAGACTGGCTTGAAATATATATACATTATTACCTTGGAGGAGAATCATCCTGCTTTTTAAATCCAGGAGGAAGGGCTGGTCCAAAAAATGCGTCATCATCATCATCGTCATCATCATCATCCTCAGCCTCATTTCTCCTTTGTTTTCTGGAAACACAGTAGTGTAACTTTATGCACCTATGTCAAAATTTTTCTCACAAAGGAAAATTTTAATTTCAGGGAAGCATTAACTTTAAGTAGTTGTACAAACACTGAAACAATAAATCTTGTCAAACAAGAAAAAAATGGATGCTGCAGTAGCTCTTACCTAATCTTTTCCTGGAACTTATTTTTGGCCTAAAAAGGAGATTGGTAACTTCTTTACAGCAATAATATATCATTATTCTATATTTTCTGTGATAGCAAAGATTCCATACGACGAAGTTTCAAATAGTCTACTGGCTAGATGTTTCTCAGTGAAAAGTTTATGATTTTGACTTTGTTAATTTTTTTGAGTTGGCGTCTCAGTCTGTCACTCAGGCTGGAGTGCAGTGGCACGCTCGCGGCCACCACAGCCACGACCTGCTGGGCTCCGGTGATCCTTCTGCCTCAGCCTTCCAAGTAGCTGGAACCACAGACATGATCACCACGTCTGGCTAATTTTTTTGATTTATTGTAGAGACAAGGTCTCACCAAGTTTGCTCAGGCTGGTCTCGAACTCTTGGGCTCAGGCAATCCTCTTGCCTCCGCATCCCAAGGTGGTGGGATTACAGGTGTGGGCCACCATGCCTGGCTAAGTCAGAGTCTTAAATTGCTATTTCTGCCTCATAATGTCCAAAATACATTAAAAAAAAAACTTGTTACCCAATAATAAATATTTACTATATAGATATCAGTATATAGTAAATTAGTATGTATATAGATAGATACTAAATATTTACCTTACCCATGGTGGGTAAGGCTAGAATAGAAGAAAGTAATTTATTAATTTAAACAAAACATAAACTGCATATATAATTTTATGAAGAAATTCTATGTCTTATTTAGAATAGTCACACCAATTGAAAAATCCTTTATAAGGATTTATAAATCCTATATAAGAATAGATATCTGGCCAGGCTCGGTGGCTCAGCCTGTAATCCCAGCACTTTGGGAGGCCGAGACTAGTGGATTGCCTGAGACTGCAGGTTCGAGACCCACACGGGCAACTTGGCGAGTCCCTGTCTCTACAATAAATCAAAAATCAGTTGGACGTGGTAGCATGCGCCTGTAGTTCCGGCTACTTGGAAGGCTGAGGTGGAAGGATCGCTGGAGTCCAGCAGGTTGAGGCTGATGTGGCCAGGAGCATGCCACTGCACTCCAGTCTGGGCAACAGAGTGAGACTTCAACTCAAAAAAAAAAAAAAAAAATAGATATTTCTCTACGGTCAGATACTACTAGAATACATTTCTTTATAAAATGTATAGTTCATGACGAAATACCATACAAAATGATTTCTTCTTGTGTTGTATCAATGCAAATATGACATCTCCTTATTAACTACCTGTTCCAGCCAACTTATGCTAGGCTTGAAGCATGGTTTATCATTTAATTTAAACTGACCTTGCAGTTGGACCAGTGTCATCTTCTTCAGATTCTTGATTTCCTTCTTCGTACAAAGAACTACTGTCCTCATCGCTGTCTGATGAATCTGAACTACTGCTTTTATAATTAGGGGGCAGAGCTGGTCCTGCAACTGATGAAAAGTTGTTGTGTTTGTCATAATTAGCCACAATGTTTCAATGAATCCTCCTAACACATATTTTCACTTTCTTTTCTGAAGCCCACAGCACAGGCTGCCTGGCATTTATTATAGACTTTAATTTCACTTGCTGCTTTGCATATAGCAGTTCTATCTTTCAAACTCCAGCAGAGCAGAAATCATGTCCTATACTGGGGTCCCCAACTCCTGGGCCGTGAACCAGTAGCACTCTATGGCCTGTTAGGAACTGGGCTGCAAAGCAGATGAGTGCGGGTGAGTGGAGTTCTGCCTGCAATCAGAACAGCAATGGTATTACATTCTCATAGAAGTGCAGACCCTATTTGAACTGTACACGCGAGGGTTCTAGGTTGTGCGCTCCTTATGAGAATCTAATGCCTGATAATCTGAGGTGGAGCTGAGGCTGTGATTAGCAGTGAGGTTTGACTGTACATCCCATTCACCCACCCCTGTCCATGGAAAAACTGTCTTCTATAAAACCAGTCCCTGATGCCAAAAAGGTTGGGGATGGCTGTCTTATACAATCTCTTTTATGAAATTCACAAAAACTCTGCTAATACCCAAACTTACAAATATATCAGTAGCATATAATTTCCCTGATAGCATGCAATTTTTGTACTGGTTCATGGACCTGGCAAAACAGCTTCAAGATTTTTTTCTTATAGACAGCATGTGGTAGACAATATTTATGTCACAGAGTAACCAAACAACGAATTTGTCACTCCATACTCTAATGTATCCAATATCAAAATGATCTATTTGCGTTTCTAAGAACTACCACTTAAAAAAATCCTTACTGACATCACCATATTTCCTTTAGTTTTTGAGACAATCCTTACTGACATCACCATATTTCTGTTAATTTCTGAAATGATTTTTCAAGCAGAAACAAAATTAGAGTCACTCTAAGTTTTCCTGCTTGCTAACAGAGACACAGAGAATGAGGCTGTACTGTGACAGGATGCTGCGGAGAGGGGGAGGAGTCTTCTGGGCCCGCTCATTAGAGTTATTTGCTCTCACTTTACGTCTCAGCAAAATTACAAATTACTGCACCGTGTCAGACACAACTGTCCATGTGGGTCCTGAGCAGTGGTGTTAGAAAGCTACTGCCATAGTTCCCAAGTCTGGATGTTTATCAGGCTCCCCAAGATACTCTATTAGAAAAAGATCCCCGGGCCCTTTCCCTGATTCAGTTGGCCTGGAGGAGGGCCTGGAAATAGAGTTTTCCAGAGAGCATCCCAGGTATGCCATCATTCGATATTCATAGTAGCAAAAACTTAAATACATAAAACAACATATTTTGAGTTCTTATGTGCTACATATTGTCTTAAGAGATTTACATGCATTAATCTTCTGAATTCTGAAAACAATCCTACTAGGGAGATATTATTATCTGTATTTTACAGATGACAAAAGTGAGGCACAGAAAGGTTAAAAAACTTGCCGAGTTTCACACAGCTAAATAGTGGAACTGGGATATGAACCCAGGAGTTCAATTTCAGAGCCTATATCCTTAACCACTGTACCAGTCAAAATTTAATAAAGAGTCAACATCCATCTACACAATAAATCCTTTTTTTTTTTGAAGAGACAAATTCTCGCTATGTTTCCCAGAGAGGTCCTGAACTCCTGGACTCAAGCAATCCTCTTGCCTCAGCCTCCTGAAGTGCTGGGATTACAGGTATAAGCCACTATGCTCAGCCAAGAAATAAATTTTAGAAAACAAATGTTAAACTTGTAATATAGCATGACTTAGACAAGAATAATTAGGCCTGGTGCGGTGGTTCAAGCCTGTAATCCAGCACTTTGGGAGGCTGAGGTAAGAGTCCTGAGTCCAGGGGTTCGAGACCAGCCTGGGGAACTTGGTGAGAGCTCATCTTTTTTTTTTTTTTGAGTTGGAGTCTCACTCTGTCGCCCAGACTGGAGTGCAGTGGCCGCTCACGGCCACCGCAGCCTCGACCTGCAGCCTGGAACTGCTGGGCTCCGGCGATCCACTCACCTCAGCCTCCCAAAGGCGCGGGATTACAGGCTAAGTCACTGAGCCCGGCCAGAGAGCTCATCTTTACAATAAATAAATAAAAAAAAAAAGAAAAAAAAAATTGGCCGGGCGTAGTGGTACAAGCTTATAGTTCCAGCTTTGTGGAAGGCTGAGGCAGAAGGATTGCCTGAGCCCAGCAGGTCAAGGCTGTGGAAGCCATGAGTGTGCCACTGTACTCCAGCCGACAGAGTGAGCCTCAAAAAAAAAAAAAAAAAAAAGCACTAAAAAGAGGAAAACAATAAGAATTAGGACTAGATTCCTATTTACAACTCTTGTTTGGGATTTACTGAAGAATAGTAATGTCTCAGTATGTAAATATTCTTCAAGTATAAATAGAGATTATATCTGACCTCTAACCTCAATAAATAATGCAACCCAATAGGAGACTGGAGGATTATATTTCACTCTCATAGTGATTAGCTCTTTCCGTCTTCTTGATTCTAAATATTAAAGAAGTACTTTTTTTTTCTTTTTTGTATCTTTCTCTTCCTATATGTGACTGCTATCAATGTAATTTATCAATTGAACACCACTGACCACTTCTGAATAGGACTGTAGCAAGAAGAAATTTTATTATTCTTTTATACAGTTCAAGGGATTATGGTCTAAATATTTGCTGTCCTTGGTATTATAACTAATAGATAAATTTGCTTTGATATTTTTAAGATACAAGTGGGATTAAGTTTAAAAAACAGAATTAGCAGATAAAGATAAAACTCACCTAAGACGAACATACAGCTTTTTTAAAAAAATAAATGATCACAGAAAAAATAATGAAAAAAAGTGAGCCAGCACATACAATCATTAATTTATATTTGGGTTGTGGCAAATGAAATATCTATAACATAATGAAATGACAGAATGCTAAGAGATGGTGATTAAAAAAAGTATATTAAAGGTATACATAAGCCATACTACAGATCCTAATAAAATTACGAGTAAGGACATGCCTGGCTTCACTTTTTTATAGGTATCTTTCTGAATCATATAAATTGTCCTAAAAAGTTATTTTAGACACTTGCAGGAGGGGAGTGACAGTGTCAATGTCACGTCCAAGGATCCACTCAGCTTCCACAAAGCGGCACCCGTAGTGTGTGGGTTGGCCTTGAGAAAACATGTGTACCCCAGTGTTTCTAATGTCATGATACCAGGGGACATGTCCCAGCAGTCCATTTTCAGGGTATTCAGATGACATTAACTCCATCTCAAACCTCTTAAAGAATTTTTACTCTTTCCGCTACTCAGTCAAATAGAGTTTACTGAGCACCTACTTTGTGCTGGGTCCCCTGCTAGTGTCGGGAATGACAGAGGTTTAGGACATGGCACCTTTATTCAGGGAACTCATGGTTTAGTGGGGCAAAATAGAAAACAATCTGGTGCAATAACTGCAGAAAGACAAAGCCACACATGCTTCTACCCCTCACCACTCATGGTGTGGTCCTGGCACCAGCAGGACCAGCAGAAGCAGCTGGAATCTTGTCAGAAATGCAGAATCTCAGACCTCACCCAGGTCTACTGAATCAGAGTCAGTATTTTAACAATATCTCTTAATAATTCACATGTACGTACAAGCTTAAGGTGTATTGTTATAGAAGAATCAGGATGGCCAACTGTGTTGGTTTACCTGGGATTAAGGGCCTTTCTGAGAATGTGGAATTTTTTTTAGTGCTAGAATCAGGACAGTCCTGAGAAGTTAATTTAATCTTTGTTTTTGAACTTGCGAGATGTCTTTGCAATACATTAAAATCCTGAAAGGGGAGGAAAGAGAAGGAGAGAGAATATGAAGAGTTTTTAAAAAGTCCGTATCCCTTTTTAATGATTCTGATAGGGACTCTAGTTAGGAACCACTAGACAAGATTAGATAAGTATTTACATTTTTGTACAAGAACCTTCACCCATTTAGGTTTTTATATAATAACAGTCACCCATGTGACTGATTTTTAAAAATTTCTTAGAGAAATGAGGTTTTGATATGTTTATGAGGTTTTGATATGTTACCCAGGCTGGTCTTGAACTCCTGGGCTCAAGCAATCCACCTGTCTTAGCTTTCCAAAGTGCTGGGATTACAGACATGAGCCACTGCACCCAGCCTGTGAGAGTACTGCTATACAGACCTTTTATTTCAGAAATTAGACTCAATCGGGCTCAGTGGCTCAGCCTGTAATCCCAGCACTTTGGGAGGCTGAGGTGAGTGGATTGCCTGAGCCCGCGGGTTCAAGACCCACCTGGGCAACT